CTTTGTAACTTCCCTTATTGACTTTTCATCAGTTTCTCAGTGGGTATGTAACAGGAGTTGGAGTGCTGAATCCCAGGCATATACTCTACCCAGAAACATCAGGTCTCCCTCCAGAATGACGGCACCAGCCTGCAATGCCACTACATACATGAGAAAACTGGATTTAGCCATACTTTCACCAGCACTGGTACCATCTAGCTTCTCAATCTGTGCTAAATTGAATGTTTTAAAAGTGAGACTTCATTTTATTTTGCATCTCTTGGATTCCTAATAAAGTTGAACATCCATCCCCTCATCTAATCATGACTTATTGGGGTTTCTCTCTTTGTAAATTACCTATCAAACCTTTAAAATCCTACAATTTGATCTAATGGGAAACAAACATGTTTTTGTTTATTGCCTATTTTTCTGCTGAGTCACCCTTTTTTATTGTTTGGTACAAGTTCCTTAAATGGTTTAAATATTAATCCCTTATCAGTTTGGACCCTGTTAATGGCTCTCATCGACCTGATAACTTTGTCAATGTCTCCTTCCTTTTTACATAGAAAAATTCATCAATGTGTTTTGGAGGTCTTAGAGAGACCTTTATAAGGTCACAAAATTTTTATTTATTAAACATATGCCTTTACCTTTCACATTTAATATGTTTTAAATTTGTACAAAAGGTCTGCAAGTCTTTTTGTCCACATAATGAGCCAGTTTTATCAACACTCTATTAAATAAGTCATTTTTCCTTAGTAGCTCATGATGTCATCAATATATTTCAGATTCATGTATATATGTGCCTGTTTTTGAACTCTTTATCCTGCTTCACTGATCTATTATCGTTCCTGCAAATGATTTCTAAGACTATGTCTTTGTAGTATGTCTTCAGATGTGGTGAGGTGATGCCTCTCTGGGTTTATTTTTTGTTTTGCAAACTTGACTAAGCGATTTTTGTGAATTTTTTTTTTCCATATAGATGTTAAAACAAGTTTGATGGTTCCTGAGAGGAAAAATAGGTAAAAGTCTCATTGAAATTTAGTTTGAATTGTGTTGAATAAATTGGTTTAAGGAGAATTAACATCTTTACAACATCAGAAACATGACAATGCGCCCTTTATTCAGATCTTCCTCCATCACATCCTGTGTCTTAAAATTCCTTAAAGATCTTATGCATCATTTAATATGAATAGTCTTATTGCCACTATAGCTTTACTATTTTATGGTTTTATTGCTAAAAAAAAAAAAAAAAAAATTCCTGAACAGAATGAAAAAAAATAACAAGTTCTCCACAAGCCCTGAGGCCAGAACGTCTCATCTCAACTGATAACAGACTCTCTTACCCCTCTTACCACACAAACTGCTACCACACAGGGTTGAGTGTACCCAGGGCAACCTTGAAACTAATGCCAGATGTGAAAACACCCCTTTTTTGCCTTTTGTTGAAGCAGGGCAGAGAGGTAGGGGAGAGAATGAAGTATCAGGAAGCATTGTGTTTGCTCTATTAAGCAGAAACAGGATTTCAATATAATATCTTGAAAATTAAAATTACAACAAATTTCTTAGAACTTTGGTTTATCAGCATATGAATACGGTCTTACATGAAGCAGAAACAACGGTCTACAGGAAGCATCTCTGCCAGCGATGGCCTCTGGGCCAGTTGTACAGCCCTCCAGCTAAGAAGAGTTATGACATTGCTAAAAAATGTTTTTTAAGTTTTTTATAAAGTTGTTTTTTTAAAAGAGGCAAATAGCAAAAAACAAACAAACCCCAAGAGAGAAAGTATCAGGCCCTTCTCAGAAAGTTTGTCAACCCCTGGTTTACAAGAATGATGAACTCCCTTCCGTCCTGCCTCCGTCAACCAAAACAAAATCTTAAAAAAAAAAAAATCCGCAAGACCAACCAGAAGCACAAGTGGAAAGGTGAATTCTCTAACAAAAGACCACCCTCCCCTTCTTGATCTTAGCAACTTTGAGTCTGAATCTGCATGACAGAAGATTCAAATTTTTGTAATAAATCAAAGTAATTAAATTATAGGGTTGCACTGAAAAATTTAGTGGACCTTGAAAAAGTTAACTTGGCTGGCTGCTCTTCTTGAAGTTAGTTGAAAAATAAACAATTTAATGTAAATAACCATGCATTCACAGAACTTTAAAGGTAGAAAAAACTCTCATTTTACAGATGCCTTCAGGAATTTGGGGAATGAAAGGTTCTATGGAAACAAAAAACATGAAGTGTAAAAAAGAGTAATAGAGTAATACTCTTAGAATTACTTAGTCGTTTGGATCTCCATGTGAGGTAGGGAGAGCAATATTCCCAGCATAAGCATATACATTATCAAACCAGGACACTCAAAATAATTAAAGAGATGGATATAACTATATAACTTTGAAAACATGTATTTCTTGACTGCATATTTGCTTTATTATATTGATAGACCTATAAGATAGATTTACTCAAATCGTATTTCAGAAATATCTTTCAGATTGCACCACAAGAAATTTGAATACCAGTCAAAAAAGTTTTAAAAATACTGCAATGACCTGAAGGTGTTGTCAAGCCAATGAACTTTTGTAATCCTACTGCGGCATCCAAAAGAAAAGTTCTTTAGACAGTGCAGTCAGGCATCATAAAACATTATATATTGCCATTAAGGAATGCAAAACAGTATAGATAGTATACATTTATAGTATAATCAGTAAAAGAGCCACTTATATTCATTGAAGTGAGGTTTCTTTTATGTTAAACCACATTAATTTGTCTCCATTATAGATTAGTCTGACATCTAAGAAAATAAAATCAAAAGCATATATATATAACATAAAATAAGCTCATAACATAAAATTTACCATCTTAACCATTTTAAAATTAAGGAAGATGTTTTAAAGTGTGGTTTACTAGCCAAGAGTAGTGGCTCACACCTGTAATCCCAGCACTTTGGGAGGCCAAGGCAGGCGGATCACAAGGTCAAGGGTTCGAGACCAGCTGACCAACATGGTGAAACTCTGTCTCTACTAAAAATACAAATATTAGCTGGGTGTGGTGGTGTACGCCTGTAATCCCAGCTACTCGGGAGGCTGAGGCAGGAGAATGGCTTGAACCCGGGAGGCAGAAGTTGTAGTCAGCCAAGATTGCACCATTGCACTCCAGCCTGGGTGACAGAGCAGGACCCCATCTCTCAAAAAAAAAAAAAGTGTGGTTTATTGTCTTATAAAGTAGAAATTTACTTAAGGATATATAAGATATAAGTCATATATAGGATATATATAAAATATATGATATAAAAACATAAATAGGGTATATATAACATATGGATATCTATATCCTTAAGTAAATTTCTACTTTATAAGAAAATAAACTGCACTTTAAAAAATGTTCCTTAATTTTAAAATGGTTAAGATGGTAAATTTTATGTTATGTAGTTCTTACCTCAACAAAAGTATACAAAGGCAATTTTAATATAAAAAGAGGATAAATAAAATAGGATATAATTAAATTCTCATTTAAAAAGTAGTTATTAATAATTTCGGGCTGTTTTGTTTCTTCTGAAGTATATTTTGCGTAAAAAGTAAAGATACATATTTCTCTCTGTGAAATGAGGGAAGGGTATACCTAGGGAATTATAAGGCATAGTTACGTGAAAAGTAGGAATTGTACCAAGAACAGGGAAACTGATTAATCTTTATGATGACATAACCAAGAAAAAAGATAATGCATTACAAGAAGATGTATTAATCGAATGTCATCCAAAAAGAAAAAAGTTCAAAGATAAAAGTATAATGCCATGTTCCCAAGTTGATGTGACAGAATGGCAGGGCACCCACTGACAAACTACATGAATTTCAAGATGACCAGTTTCAGGGTGTCTACACTCCAGTGATGCCCCAGATCATTCAATTCCTGTAAGTGTTGAAAATTAATTACTTTTTAAAAAGAGGGCTAGATGCAATGTGGTTTCCTGAATTGAATCCCAGAACAACGAAAGAATATTAGTGGAAAAGTGGTGAAATCTGAATATTGTGTACGGTTTAATTAACAGTATTGTACCAATGTTAATTTCTTAGCTTTGACAAATACACCTTGCAATATAAAATATTAACAGTAAGGGAAGCTGGGCAAAGGGTAGACAGGAACTTTCCTCACCACATTTGCAAATTTTCTGTCAATCTAAAGTTATTTCCAAATTAAAAGTTTATTAAAAAGTGGGGAGAGAATTAAGTATCAACCTATGCACACAGAAACAGAACACTTGGCTGTAGTGATGTTCTGATAACAGCAACAGAGGTGAATACAGCAAGTGTCATTTCAAAAATAACCCAGGGAGAAGGAAGGAAGTAGTGACTGGGAGAGTGACTGAGTGGGCTTTTGTGTGCTACAATCTTCTATTTCTTGACTTGGATTGGTGGTTGCGCATATGAATTCATTTTAATTCACTGAACTGTACTTTTTGGTACATTATCCTTCAATTAAAAAAAAATTAAAACATGCCCCTATTATAGATGAAGGTTAGAATTAAGAGAAGATATAGAAATGAGGTATATACATAGGGAAGAAAAAAAACCTATGCAGGGACAGATGTAACAGTTATTAAATCCTGAGTAAAATTTTGGAAAGGATCTTGGAAATTACCAATTCCAGAAGTGGTCAGATTCTTTTACGAAAGTAGATCTGGAGATACTTACGCACTGCAAGTAGGCAGAGGCCAGACTTTAGTATTTTAGCAAAATTCCTCTGATGATTCTGATGCACACCTGGATTACAAACCACTGAACTACCCCAAGAAGGTTATGTGACCTTTCAGAGCTAGAATGTTCCAGAAGTGGCACAAGAACTCTATTACCAGACTCCTGGCCTTCTACTCTACCTACAGTTCAAAACCCTCAGCCAGGATTCCTGAGATATTATACCACTAGAGAGAAATATCTGTAAGTTCTATTCATTTTAATATGTTTATCACAAAGATTTTTTTTTTTCTATCACAGTGGCTTTTTTACCCTATAAGAAAGACTCTTTTTTTCCCAACATATTTTTGATTTTACATTTCCAGGATAGCATTAATACATTTGTCATTTATTAAATAATGGCAAACCATAGCATCATAAAGTATTGAGACTGAAGGGCTCCTAACCTACCCATTCATTTTAAAGATGAAGAGACAAATGCCAGAGATAGCAGTAACTTGTCAGGAGTTTCCAGAATTCAATTCTCCTTTTTCTAGGTTAATAAGTTAGACTAGATATCTTCCCCATGGTTACTGTCTTGACGAGATGAACTAATATGCAATACATGGTATCTTACGTTCTTTCATGTATAATTCAGTTTGTTATGATTTCTATGAATGTTTCTGTTTGAAACAGTAATATTTCTGTTATATATGTACGTATGTTATAAATACATATTCTGATAGAGGCATACAATATATAATAATCACATTAGGTTAAATGAGATATCCATCACCTCTAGAATTTATTTTTTTATTACAATCAATTCAATTCTACAGTCTTAGTTATTTTAAAATGTACAATTAAATTGTTATTGACTACAGGATCATTTTGGTTATAATTAAAATTATATAGAATATAAATGAAATTTACACATATCTGAGTCCTGAATAAATACTTTTTTAAATTTCTTACATATTTTTCTTTGAATATGTGGTGTAAGAAAATTATGGATTGTGTTTGTTTGAGTATGAGTTTGTAAGTATTTTCAGAATAAAAAATAAATATTGGAACAAAAAAATTGTTGCTGAGCAACAGTGTGATGGCAAGGGAACAGAAGACAACAAAAAAACCTGATTGAACACTTAAATCAAGGTGCTTCTTTTATATGTGAGGATAAATCATAGTGAGTTAAGGGAAATTTAAGAATATTTTTTAAGAAATAACAATTTTATGTAGGCAATTGTGAGGAAAATAACAATCATACAAGCCAAGGCCACGTGATTCTTCCACAAGCCCCAGGGTGAGAGATCGATGCCCTGGTTGGTCAAATATTCTTCGCCAGTACATCTGAAATTCAACAGAAAAAGAATATAACTTCTAGCACCAGTCAGATTTTACTCAATATATCCACTGTTCCTTAAAGGAGCCTAAAAGTTAACCATGCCTTTAATAATTATCCCTTCAGATGTCATAGCTAACAGTCATTGTGCGCTTACAATTTTGCCAAACACTAACAGGCAACATGAACTTAACTTAGTTAATTCCTAAAACAGTCCAATGTGACAGACATTGTACACACTTAAAAGATGAGGGGACTAAGGTTTAAGGAACTTGACCAGGTTTACAGAGTCATACTTTGAATCACCAAGTTTTTAGCCTACTCAAATTCATTGGTTTCCAAATCTGTAATGCTGCTCTCTCCAAAGGGTAGAAAGATTTATCAAATAATATTTCCCTTGTCCCTGATAGAGAAAACATCAGCTTAAACAGATGACACTTCTGACCCTCACTAAGATGATCAAAGCTCTTACAGTACTCCTTACCCTTACAAACAGCCATAAAAAACAACACAGGCTAAGAATTCCAAAACCAGGAAAAAAGGTATGCAAGGGCTTCCTGCACAAGTCACGTTCTGCCAGTTCATACATCAACACTGTGATGAGCTACAAGATATTCCCAGCAGACTCAGCTATTAGGTTGAAGCCGTAAGTGGCAGCTAGAGTAGAGTAGAGCAGGGTGAACTCCTGTCTGCAGGTTAGGAAAGCACCTGGTACTAAAAATACCTTGGACAGCCACAATTACTGCTTGATACCATTTTTGTGCAACTCTTGGGAATTCAGCAATTCCAAAAACATACATAGCCTCTCTTTTACTACACAAGTAGCTTCTTCCTTTGTCTTCTGAGGATGAAGCCTCATCTTCCATTACCATGAAGCCCATGGTGGCTCCTACTTATCTGGTCCCACTTTTCTCATCCATTTCATCCTGACCACCCCAATCAAGTCAAAAGATAGGGGCAGAATAAAGAAAACCTCTCTGTATAGAGGATTTCCTATGAATAATTCAAAAGAATAATTTGTTCTATTGTTAAGAATTATTTATATTCTACTTGAACGTTTGGGAGATTTAAGATAATATCATTCTCTTTTCTCTCATTAATTTATGTATCAAAATCAAACCATTAGCAATCACAGAAAAGGAAAGTGTTACCAAATTCTTAAAACAATATTATCTAGTGTTATTAGACTCTGTTTTAACGTTACGTAAAAACAGCGTTTCCTTCTCAACTTACTCAAGTGTTTCTTATTTTTTTAGGGGCTAAATCATTTGATAGGGAGTATTCCGAGTTAATTTAACAACAACAACAACAACAACACCACATGACTAAGCAGCCTTTGATTTCATGATGTCTTCAAAATGCATGAAACAGTGCCAGGATCTTGGCAGGGAAATGTTCACTTTCTTTGTGCTATTGCTGCCTATTTCATTCTTACCATTGTCCATGGGTTGGGCTCAGAGGTATCCATGAGTTCATGGACCCACAGATTTCATATAATCCGTACAGTTCAGGGACCGTAAGCCCTTGATAAAATATCAAAGCACCTCACTTCAATCTCAAATGCTCTGAAACCTAAGTACTCAAACCCATAATCGAAACATCCAAAGGGTCTTTTAAAAGACCCAAAACAAACAAGAAACAAACATAAGAAACGTTGCTGCATGTTAAAGACAAGTCTTAGACTGCAGCCGAACACTAAGGATTTGTGCCACATGTTCTTGTGCATTTGTGCACAACTCACTTTATGGATGAGAAAACGTAGGCTCGGAAAAGTTCAGCGCCCTGGAAGAACTCACACAGATCTAAGCCCAGAACAGTGTGGCCTTTCTATATCACACCATAATAGTAAGCAAACCCATATGACACTGAACACAAACTTACATTGCATATTCACAAGTACTGTTCGATGTTGTGTTGAATCCTGGGCAGAAGTTTTGTCCCAAAAATTCATTATGCTGTAAAGCCTATAACACAAGTGGAAGCCAGGCAAGGTAAACAGTTTTAAATTTCAAGAAGTTTCCAAAGAGTTATCACAATCATGCCCTCTGAGTTTAATCTTTATTGTTATTTCAAAAAACATATTCACAGTCTTTGTCTCACCAAAGCAACTAAAGTTATTTTCCCTGGCCATCAGGAAGCCTAGGGTTGGGATTTTGGCTTCCAATACAAAAGAAGTAAAGCATTTGGCCAAAGAGGGAGACCTCTAGCTATATTACACCATAGCTCCTTCCTTCTTCTCTCCCAATTTTATAACCCCATAAACACTCTAATTAAAATGATACCATGTGTAGTGCTCCCCTCCCTGTGTCCATGTGTTCTCATTGTTCAACACCCGCCTATGAGTGAGAATAGCAAGGGGAGAGATGCCAGATGTAGGTGATGGGGAGGAAGGCAGCAAATCACACTGCCACGTGTGTACCTATGCAACAATCTTGCATGTTCTTCACATGTACCCCAAAACCTAAAATGCAATAAAATAAACAAATGGGGGAAAAAATGATACCGTGGTGCTCAATGAGTATTGTTAATTTACAGTAACAGCTTTTTGTTCTTATTGTTTTCATTAAAAACAGTTGTAATTCTTGGAAGCTAGAAGCTTGGTTAAACAGATAGTTTACTTTGGAGTTAATGAGCTTGCAAAAGCCAATACGACAATGCTTATTATATGGTCTTTGTTCTTCTAATTTTCCTTTCATTATAAACTTCTCCCATCCTCTCATTTATTTCCTTATTGAACTGAAATGCAAAAATATATTTTTCATCAAATAGCCTATCTTTCTCCTTTACTAGGAGGTATCTCCCTACTCTTCAGCCCTTTAAAGGATGACTGAGGAAAGTAGCAAATGACTCCCTGGCCTTGTGTTAACCAAGGCCAACAAGAAATTCTCATTCCTTGCTTCTAAAAGGGAGTTTCTGGATGGGAGACTTTCATAGCCCATGGCCAAAAATGGGGAAGCTTTATTTCCATTGTTCCTAGCTTGGGAACGCAGTCACAAAGACAGACAAGGAAGACTTACCGTAAATCCATATCGAGGAATGCTGAAGTACTGAAGCCATGAGAGCCAAGATGCAATGGTTGTGAGATTTACCAACAAACCTGAAAAAATCTACAAAAAGCAAGTTCTATGAGTCAGGACTGCTTGAGTAATTTCATGCAGAATTATAGAGAATACTCTCTTCAAGTCCCTACCACTTTCTAAGTATTTCTTTTAAAACCAACTCTTTCTTGAAGTTCATTCCACTCACTTTAAACACTCGCTAAAAATTATTCTCCTCTGTGTGTACACATCTCTATATAGCTAAGGTTGTTTATGGTTTTAAAGGAGGAACAAAATATCGAATATATATTATATATTCCATTTAATTGGAAGATCCTCAATTGTCAAGACGATGTACTCAACTTTCTTTGTAGCCACACACGATGGAAGGTCAAGAAGCACTGACTATTCTAATGACACAACCACTATGTGTGCTCACCAATACACCTGGCTTTGGAAAAATCTATACCAGATCAGTCCTGAGCATCATATGCCCTCCGTACTTCAAACTATAACATTTGCTATTTACAAAGTTTTGCAGTCTATATCCACGTGACTTTTACAAGGATGTGAGGTTCAGAAAGCAGGCTTAAGATAACCCAAAGCCTAGAACTGATACAGAGCATAATGTGGCAAGAGGTAGAATACAAACAGGATCGATGCTATCATTTAAAGCTGCCAAACAGCAATAGCACAATGGAGATGCCAGGAAGACCTGCTGCAAATTGACAAGAGAACTAATTGCAGCCACCTCAAGCATACTGGTATATGTGTAACAGTGATGATGTCACTAGGCTGACTATATATATTCAGACTTGACCTGACCCAAGGCTTAGTATATAACACATCTCTGAGTAAAATACGGTCTTATGACTATTTTTTAAACTTCTGTGTAGAAATCTTTAAACAATAAATCAAACAGTTGTATTTGTTGGGTGATAGTATGGGAAAAATAAACAAGTCTTATCACTTCCTCATTAACGTTTACATTGGTAGTTTTCATATCCAGAAATGGAAGAATTAAACTCTGGCAAGAGTTCGTGCTAATTATTTTCATTTAAAGACATTTACACCTACTCTAGCAGATGGGACAAGTTTCTGTGTATTTGATGCTGAAGGGGAAAAAATGTAACTGGTTTCATTCACCTGTTGATTTACCTATGTGCAAAATTTAGGGGCATGTAAGATTAGGATTAAGTAACCATTTAAAAAAAAAGATAAGCAGAAACATATTGAATGTCAGGAACGAAACCCAGAAAGGAGGTACTTAGTAGTGTGGGAACTCTGGAATTTTTCAATATTTTTAAAACATTCCTTTTCCAAATACAAGAGGGAGCCAAGATACACTACTCATACCATACACGGTTCTGATTCTTATAAGGCTTAATGTGTGCCTTGGAGAACAGTATTATAAATCCAACCAGACCATCTCTGCTGGTGGGTAAACAAGCTACCAGTTCAATGCTGTATGTGGAAACTTTAAAACAGAAATCAAAATGTACAAAAATAAAAATAATAAGCCAGCAGTTCTCTATCACCAGAATGAAAGTCAGGCAAGTAATCTGTCATTCTCATGGCAATCTGCCAGTCAAATGTTTTCTGGTTTTTGAAATTCCAATTTATTAAGGTTTCATAATATGTCACCAAGAAATACCTTTTAAAAGCTCATTAGTAACAACATATTAACTAAAATTATTGGAACTACATTAGAATAGTAACAAAAAAGTTTGGATAAGGGCAGAAGAAAGTTCATATATTCTCTAACATAAACTATTTCAGTAGGTGGCCTTAAAGCAGAGTTCCATTTACAGAATCCTTAAAATAGGTTTTATATGACAAGTGAATGTGCAGGAGGAAATAAAGGAAAAAACAATTCCTTCTTAGAGACACACGGTTCAGACTCACCATCATAAACACAAAACAGATGGTCATGAGAAGTGTTGCTATGGAAACCACACTCTGACCTGCTGCTATGGCCAGCGCCATGGAACTGGCCGAATAAGCCACCATCATAAGGGTAAATATCATGATGAAGAAGGCATCTGCCTTTGGTTTCAATCCTTAGAAAGAAAAGAAGAAGTTAACCCAACTTTCTAGGTCCCCGTATGTTTGGGATTGCTTATTGTGCAAATTTAACACTATAATATTTTGAGAAATTAATATTAGAATGAAAAAAAGTCATCCACTCTCTAACCACCCTGGGTCTCCAATGTTGTTTTCTTCTATGTAACTGCATAAAGTTCTCATAGTTTCCCTTTTTATACCAACTACATAAGCACTGGTGCTTATAACACCTATGCGCCATTACGTATAATTAGGAACAATTTCTGAGTTCCTGCGATGAAGAGCTACAGGCAGTACAACTGGCCAAAATTTAACTGCCTTCTCTTTTCACAGGAAACTCATCAATCTCACATTCATTTGCCCGTTCATCCCCACAGTACTTATTGTGTGCTGTAACTGCGTGAGTCAAGAGACTAGGATGATTGGGATGGCATGACCTCGCCGTGGTTATCATATCTAGGGGAAGGAGAGGGAGCCTTCAAAACCCAGCCTCCCTAGACAGATCACCACATCACTCTGGATTGAAACAGGACTAAATTAAGTTTCATAAACTGCTTTCTGAACTGTAGTGAGCTAATGCTACAGGTAATAAAATCTGAAGATTTGAAACAGCCACAAGAACACTTATCAGGAGTCTGGAGATCCAGACCCTATCCCTGATTGTTTAGAACACACCTATTATTTGTCAAATGGAAGGTTTAAGTTCAATTGGTAGTTCTTATCTTGCAGTACTGTCAAAAATAGATTATTTCTGGGGGTTGTGTGTGCGTATGTGTATCAGTGAAATATATGGAAATCTGATGCAAGGAGCGTGGACTGAAGCCTGAGCATAGTGCACAAATGAATCTCATCTCTCAAACAAGTATTTTTATTAAATTAATAAGTCCCAAAAGTCACTGTCTTTCTCTCATTAAAGAGGCAGCGATGGGGAATATATATTAAATAAATTCATATATATATATTTAATCATTCTATTTATCTCTAAGAGATTAAATATATATATTTAATCATTCTATACATCTCTAAGTATGTGTGTATGTGTATATATAATATGTAAATATAGATGGTGTATATATAAATATACATATATATATAGAGAGAGACAGAGACAGAGGGAGAGAGATAGAAAATGTAGATAGGCAATACATAACAGCTTCTCCATCATAGTCTCAAAGTTTTATAATTTCTTTCCATGTTTGTGTATAACATAAGTATCTCTCAGTATAGTTTTATAAGTAGTTTTAAAAGTTTAGGCTGGGCACATCAGCTCATTCCTGTAATCCCAGCACTTTGGGAGGTTGAGGTGGGAGGACTACTTGAGGCCGGGAGTATAAGACCAGCCTGGGCAACACAGTGAGACCCCATCTATACCAAAAACTCCATCTTTATGTGTGCCTGTAGTCCTAGCTACTCAGAGGCTGAGGTAGGAGGATCTCTGGAGCCCAGGTGGTTGAGGCTATAGTGAGACATGATCACCCTGCACTCCAGCCTGGGTGACAGAGCAAGACCCTGTCTCAAAAAAACAAAACAAAGCAAACTAACAAAAAAGTTCAATTGGGAAACAGTCTTGACAAAAATAGCTGAGAGCAAACAGCTATTTCAGAGAGGGCAAATAGACAGACAGATGCTTCCTTGTCTCATGGCCTGGCTTATAGTTTTGAAAACCAAAAACGTGCTTGCAAGGTGCAATTGACTTCACCTCACAGGCAAGATTAAAGACATGTCCTTTTTTGTCTTGTTACTTACCTAACATGAAGTACACTATACAGGTAAATATAATACTTGGTAACATCCTCATGGGTATTAAATCGGATAACAGTTTTCCAAAGAAATAAGATGATACTCTGTAGTATCCACTGATATATTCATGTCTATAGAACAAAAATACATATCATACATCCCAGATTAGTTTAAGTAGACACAGGGCAGGCTAGACTGCCTGCTATAGACTTCTGCTGATAGCAAGGGTCAAACAAGCCAGCTTCCCGCATCCTCAGGGCTAGACCCACCATGCATGCCCATGAACACCTCGGGTGCCAGCCTCGCTGGGACAGCATCCCATGAAGCTCTGTGCACAGCCCCTCTTCTCATGAGACAACACCCTCCTATTGTTGCTCTTTCTAGCTCCTGAACACTCAGTCCAGGGAAACAGATTTCACATACCCTCCCTCTCTTCAAAGAATGCTTCTTTTCCTTCTTTGACACTGGCTTTCCTTGAAGAACAGTAGCTGATTTTGGTAGGAAAAGAGGCTTTTATTTTCCCTATTTCTGATTAGGAAGGCGGCTTGTTATTCTCTAAGTCCCACAGTGCAGCTTCAGATCACTAAACTCTTCTTACTTCTTCCACTCTCAAGTTAGAAAAAAGAAAAAGGCTACTTTTTTCAATGACCATGTCTTCCAGCCATACATCCCTGTCAACTATCAAACTGTAATCTTTCCTCTTCCTGACATCTTTCTCCCACAATTCCAAACCCTTCCACCTCCTGCATTCTTTCCCTTTCTAATAATTCCTATACATGACGTGTAAATTTGGGCAAATTGGATAGATCCTTGAAAAATACCCAGCGTGGGAAACATAGAGAGACCTTGTCTCTACAAACATTAAAAAAATAAAATAAAATAGCCAAGTGGCTGGGTGCAGTGGCTCACACCTCTAATCCCAGCACTCTGGGGGGCCAAGCGTGGACAGATCACCTGAAGTCAGGAATTTGAGACCAGCCTGGCCAACATGGCGAAAACCCATCTCTACCAAATATACAAAAAATTAGCTGGCTGTGGTGGCAGGCACCTATAATCCTAGCTACTTGGGAGGCCGAGGCAAGAGAATTGCTTGAACCCAGGAGACGGAGGAGGTTACAGTGAGCTGGGATTGCACCATTGCACTCCGCCTGGCAACAGAGCGAGACTGTTTCAACAAAAATAAATAAATAAAGGAGGCCAGGCATGCTAGTTACTTAGAAGGCTGAGGTGGGAAGACTGCATCAGCCCTGCAGGTCAAAGCTTCAATGAGCCATGATCATGTCTCTGCACTCCAGCCTGGGCAACAAAACAAAACGCTGTCTCAAAAAAAAAAAAAAAAAAGAAAAGAAAAGAAAAAGGGAAATAGAAGAAATTAAGCCAGGCTGCTCTTTACTGTAAGAATGCCTTCCGGCTTGTGCCACTCCCCTGGTCCACTGAGGGCTAAGCATGGTCACATTCTTTGTCAATTTAATCTCCCCACTTCTAAGTTGCTGCTTAATCCCTAGCCCCTCAAACTTTTCTTGTGAAGGTCATCAGCATTTACTAAAAACAAAAGATACTTTTCAGTCCCTTTATTGCTTGCTCTCTGCAGCATTTGGATTTTCTGGCCATACCCAAATCTAGAAAAACTATTTTCTCTGGATACCAGGTCCCAAGGGCTCAGCATTTTCTTCCCCACCTCTGGCTCCTTCTTCTCAGTTAATATTGGTAACCTCTATACCTATTTTCAAAACATCACGTTGTACATGATCAATATGTACAACTTTTATTCATCAATTTAAAAGTACATTTTAAAAAGTACTGGTAATCCTTAGGATCCCATCCTTGGCCCCAATTCCAGATGTTATCAGTCTAACCAATAGCCCCTGCTGCTGGACAGCCCTGTTCCCAGAGCAAAGACCTACTCACATGAAGAGCTTCTTCTCTACCACAAATAGTTCCACAGCCGACACGCTGCTGAAACACTGGTTGGTCGTCAGGAAGAAGAGAACCCCGGCTCTGCCACGAAAAGGGAACAAAAGCACCGCAGTCAACTCAGCATTCTTAGATAGATTTTCTACCCACAGAACTCTTTCCACAAATGATGGTATACAGAGTTAGGCAGGAAAAAATGAGAAACTGTTCCGGTTGAAACAGAGGGAGGCATGAACTCCATCAGGCCTCTCCCCTGGGACTACATATTAGAGCTCATTTTGAAATTCACAGTCTTGGATTGTTGTGAGCTGAATTGCCTCTCCCCCCACCAAAATTCATATGTTGAAGCCCCACCCCCAAATGTGATGGTATTTGAAGATGGGCCCTTTGGGAGGTAATTAGGTTCAGATGAGGTCACAGGGTGGGAGGTAGAGAGTGCAATGGAATAACGTCCTAATAGGAAGAGAAAGCAGAGCTCTTGCTCTGCCACATAAGGAACAGCAAGAAGGCAAGTCTGCGAGCCAGGAAGAGGCCCTCACCAGAACCCAGCAATGCTGGCATCCTGATCTCAGACTTTCAGACCAGAACTGAGAGAATTCGGTTGTTTAAGTCACTTGGCCTATGGTATTTTGGTATGGCAGCCAGGTCAACACATCATTTTAACTAACAAAAATGCCAAGTACCATTCCTAATGTACGAACAGAGAAGTGGCAAGCTAAATATGATTTTAAAGTTGAACAAAGAATGTAAGACATGTAGAAGCAAAATGAAAGACAGTGAAGGGACTCTCAATCAATTCCTTACTATATGCATAATCTACATGCACCACACCACCATCAGCAGGACCATGACATTATCCTCAACATGCTAAGACAGCCAGCCCTCTTTGAGGTGTCCAGAGTGCTCAGAGGAAACCAAGTGATGCTTACTGATTAAGAAAAATCTAACTTATGTATTGTAATGGAAAGGAATACTATTAATGCGTATTTCTCAGTGAAGTAATCGAGATTTAAAAAGAAAAATGCTAAGTTAATCTACACTTTGATACAAATATGAATATTATGAAAGCATGCCAACATCCCTGAAACACCATAACAAAATGGTATAATTGATAGTGAGAGTGTGAGTTGAAACTGAAAACGAGGTGATACATCACTTAAATGGCGTAAAAACAAGAGAACATTTTTTAAAATGTAAACCCGAGAGAACAACAAGATTACATTAAAAGAAAGAGTCCATAGATATCTAAAGAACAAAGATCCAAGGGAACAGGCTAGGGTTTTTTTGTTTGTTTTATTTTATTTTTAGAGAGAGAGTCACACTCTGTCACCCAGGCTTTAGTGTGATCATAAACTGTGATCATAAACTCATTCACTGCAGCTGAGTTGAATTCCTGGGCTCAAGTGACCCTCCCACCTCAGCCTCCTAAAGGGCTGCAGTTACAAGTGTAAGGTACTGTGCCCAGCCAGAACAGTTTTAAAAGTATATATATAGCAATTGAAATGAATGAAAAATATCCAGGCCTGGTAGACATGCAGTTATCTAACCTTCTGTACACAAATAAACTTTATATCAAGTTAAAAGCTAATTTCGGAACATGGAACATAGCAAAGATTCAGTGCAATTTGCCATCTTCCATCTATCTAACAGTACAGCAATGTTCATAATGATTCTGAAAAAGCAGACAATGAAAAGACTCCTTCTAAATCCTAAGATGATTTATTTTAAATAGTTTTTTCTTATTAAGGAAGTTAATTCATTCTAATTTTTTCAAGGAGGTAATCCACACCTGTCATGTCTACTTATTGGTCTGAATATGTTTTATTTTGATTTTTTAAAATTATAAATTGGCACATTATAGTTGTATATATTTGTTGGGTACCAAGTGATATGATTTATAAATCAAAGTGTGAAATAATTAAATCAAGCTAATTAACGTATCCATTACCTCAAATATTTATTTTTTATGGTAAAAGTATTTTAAATTTTAGCAATTCTGAAATTTGCGTTATTATTTGCGGTGTTCACCACACTGTACAATGTATCTCCAAAGAAAAATTCTTATTTGTCCTGGGTAATTGAGGTTTCGTACCCTTTGACCATCATCTCTCCATTCCCCACACCCCTCCAGCTCCTGGCAACCACGACTCTACTGTCTCTTTCAGTTCCATTGTTTCAGATTCCACATTAAGTGAGATTATGTAACATTTCTGTGCTTAGCTTTCTGTATTTGGCTTATTTCACTTGGCATAATATTCTCCAATTCCATCCATGTCATTACAATAATATGACAAAATTTCTTTCAGTTTCCACTGTGTACATACATCACATTTTCTTTAGCAAATCAGACACTTAGGCTGATTCTGTATCTTGACTATTGTGAACAATGCTGCTATAAATACGAGGGTGCAGAAATTTCTTCAACAAACAGATTTCACATCTTTGGGGTAAATACCTAGAAGTGAGATTACTGAACCTGAATACTATTTTTAAAGTCTATCTTTTCCCTTTATATACGCTAATTTGTTTAGCTATCACCACAACTTGTAAAGCAGTTATTCCAGAGGTAGCTATTAATTCAAAGATGCTCATAACTCTACATATGATTAAAACCCAGTTTCTCAGTTACACAGGTAAGAGAGTGCTTGCCTCTCTTGGAAAATTCATCCCCAAAGAAGAGAACTAAACCACCGACCTCTGAGCAGTTTTAAATGATGAAGTACTAATATTCACCCCTGAACAAACCTTTGAGAACCTGCTTCCAGAGATGACACTGAAACACTTTTTCCTAGTCAATAAATTACAAATCATCCCAGGAGGGATTAAACTATATACACAGGCCAGTTTAACATAGTCCAAATGCTTTTATAAAAAATGAAAGGGGAAGTAAGAACATCAGGAAAAATAGTTAATGCATGCTGGGCTAAACACCAAGGTGATAGATTGATAGGTTTAGCAAACTATCACAGCACACTTTTACCTATGTAACAAGCCTGCACATCCTGCAGATGTACCCAACAACTTAAAAAAATGATAGCAAATTTAAGCAAAAATACAAATTATGAGCCCAGGAGTTCGAAGCTGCAGTGAGCTATGAATGCACTATTGCATACCAGCCTGGGCAATAGAGTGAGATTCTGTTTCAAAAACAAACAAATTAAATAATATTAATGCACTATTTCTCCAGAAAACATTGGAAGAAACACTTAAAGCTTTTCCTTATTTCTCTGGATTTTTCTACCAAGAGTTTTAATGGCCAGATTTCCAGTCCTCTTTAAAGTTCCAGTTGAGGACAGATTACTCCGTGTCCTTTCCAAATGCTTCCTGCTGCACAATATAAAAGGCCCATAGCCTCTAGATCCTGTGATATAGTCTGTGCTGGGTTAAGAAATGCCATCTACACGGAAATAATCATCAATTACTAGCAAGTCTGGAAATGATCCAGATACCTCAGCCCTCAGGGAAAGTAAAAACATGAACAATGACATCACTCTGGTAAACTGCTGCTTAATAATAGTCTCCTTGTAGAGTCACACTATCTGATTCCATACAAAAGAATTTATTTTACTTGAGTGAAGAATTAACTTTTATGCTTATTCTTTCAAAAATAATCAGTCTTTTCCAGACATCAAAATAGACTGAATATAAGCATCTTCAACTTTCCTCAGTAGTAAAATGGGGATACCATCCACCCCCTCTAAAGCACTGGGAGGTAACCTGAGACTAGCCCGAGCACAGTGTCTTGCACAAGTGTTCTCCACACATGCAATAACTAGAACTCTGAGGGCTGGACATTCCTGAGTGTTTACGTTCAGCACACAACACAGCCGTTAAAAAGTCTCCTCACAGGCTGGGTGCAGTGGCTCATGCCTGTAATCCCAGCACTTTGGGAGGCCAAAGTGGTCAGATCACTTGAGGTCTGGAATTCAAGACCAGCCTGGCCAACATGGTGAAACTTGGTCTTTACCAAAAAATTAAAAAATTAGCCAGGCATGGTGGTGCATGCCTGTAGTCCCAGCTATTTGGGAGGGAGATATGGGAAAATGGCTTGAACTGGGGAGGTGGAGGCTGCAGTGAGCTAAGATCACACCACTTCACTCCAGCCTGGGTGACAGAGCGAGACCCTGTCTCAAAATAATAATAATAATAATGATAACAGAAAAGGCTGGCTAGGTGCAGTAGTTCATGCCTATAATTCCAGCACTTTGGGAGACTAGGGCAGAGGATGCTTGAGGCCAAGGGTGTGAGAACAGCCTGGGCAATAAAGAAAGATCTTATCTTTACTCTTTTTTTTTTTTTTTTTCAAAACAGAGTCTTGCTCTGTTGCCTAGGCTGGAGTGCAGTGGTATGATCTCAGCTTACTGCAATCTCTGCCTCCCAGGTTCAAGCAATTTTCTTGCCTCAGCCTCCCAAGTAGCTGGAACTACAGTGCCCACCACCATGCCCAGCTAATTTTTGTATTTTTAGTTTCCCCACATTGGCCAGGCTGGCCTCAAACTCCTGAACTCAGGTGATCTACCCATCTTGGCCTCCCAGAGTGTTGGGATTACAGGCATGAGCCACCACACCCAGCCAAGATAAGACCCTATCTTAAAAAACAAAATAAAAAGGTAAATTTCATTTTCTCTGTATTTTACCACTCCCTATACACATATATGTGTGTGTGTGTGTGTGTGTGTGAGTCCAAAACAGACAATTAACTCTTCCATTCAGCTTTCAATTTACTGACTCATCCTACCCTCAATAAAAGTGGGTAGGAATTTAAGATAGTTACTTTACTTATCTTAAATTCAAATTCTTAATGGATTTTCATAAGCTTGAAGAAAGTAATAGCATTTTCTTAAAATCAAGATCCAAATTTACTTACCTATTCTGGATTCCAGTAGAATCATTTTTTAGCCCAAAGTAAATGGCGCCTATAACCAGTCCCAGTATGGCTGTGACAATGATCTTTTCAAAAAGCAAAATGCAAATAAAAAAGAAAAGAGTTTCAATTAGAGGTAAAAACTTATACACACCATTTATTATTATAATATATATGGTTACATAATCAGATCTCTCTATTAACATAAACACTCAATGGCTTAGCCAATGTCCCTGGGAGAAAATAAAACAGTGAACATTATTTAGACTGCTTCCTAAATTAAGTTATCTGTGGTTTGGGGAGAGTGCTAGGACACAAAGCACACGACTGGAAAGCTGGGGGCTTCCTTTCATTGCAACACCCAGCAGCCAGTTCAGGATCTGCTTCAGGTTACTGGGCTCGTAATTACCACACTGCATAGCAGAGCAATGCAAGTACACAGCAAAGCAACGTCCAGGTGACTAAGAGTTTTGACCCTGAACTGAACTCTCGAACTTTGTGCCAATAAATATGCATCATTTTATGTTTCAAGAAATTAAAGTGAAAACAGGATATCTTTCCTCTTAACATTAAAAATAAATAAAAATTTAAAAGCAAACATTTAAAAAATTCTAACAATGGAATTTTGCACAATAAGGAAATAGGGGTGAAATGGAGCCTGCTTATCCAACCTCTAGGGAGTCCATGCCTGCACTGGAAAAGTGCATTGTCACTGTCACCAAAGCATTCAGCCAGCTTTCTCTGTGCACACTCTGTTTGCTTCCACGACCCATCTCCTGTCACTGCTTCCTCACCGCTTCAGCCAATGAGGCCTACAGCCAATGCTGCAGACCTAAGCTGCCAATTCTTTGCCATTCTCACCTGTCTTCACCACTCAATCTATGTCTATGGCTCCTAAGGCACCTGGACAAACGACACTCTTGCTTCTAGGATAAAAGTTTTCCTAAGGACACTTCAATAAGCAAAGGGTTAAGAGTTATGTTATACTTTATTTGAGGAAATCCTACTTATATTTACTCATGAGTTACATATTAAAAAACAACAAATTTTTTTTCTTTCTGGGCTTGGTGGCTCATGCCTGTAATCCTAGCATTTTGGGAGGCTGAGGAGGTCAGATTGCTTGAGCCCAGGAGTTTGAGACCAACCTGGGCAACATGGTGAGACTCTGTCTCTACTAAAAAAAAAAAAAATACACAAAATAAATTAGGTAGGCATGGTGGTATACGCCTTGTAGTCCCAGTTACTCAGGAGGCTGAGGCACAAGAATCGCTTGAACCCTAGAGGTGGGGGTCACAGTGAACTGAGATCGCACTACTCCACTCCAGCCTGGGCAACAGCGCGAGACTCTGTCTTAAAAAATAAATTGATAAATAAATAATTAAAAAATAAGAAATGGTAATCTAAAAAAAAAAAATCCCACCATATCTTTAAATCATTAAAGTTAAAAGAAAATCTCAATACTGCAACAGTCCAGTGGTATCAAGATTTAAAGTAATGGACACTTTTAGCATGAAGCAAACCAAACTGTGAAAACAGGACCATGATCTGCGATAACTCGTTTGTGAAGAACCTAGTCTGGAAAGAATATTACTTCAATGTTTCTACTTATGTCTTTTAAAATTCACTTAGAAATTCTGGGGGGAAATCCATTATGCTGGCATATTTTCATTAATCTCATAATATACTTTAACAGATTGAGCTTCCAAAATAAGTGCAAATGACTATATCAACATGCATACATGTGTATACAAGAGTCTATATTTTCACATAGTAAAACTTTTAAGAGTATTCAATTCAGTATTGTCTCTTTTTTTTTTTTGAGACAGAGTCTCGCTCTGTCACCAAGGCTGGAGTGCAATGACGCAATCTCGGCTCACAGCAACCTCCACCTCCCAGGTTCAAGCAATTCTCCTGCCTTCCGAGTGCTGGGATCACAGGCGTGCACCACCATCCCTGGCCAATTTTTGTATTTTTAGTGGAGGCGGGGTTTCATCATGCTGGCCAGGGTGGTCTCGAACTCCTGACCTCAGGTGATCCTCCCACCTTGGCCTTCCAAAGTACTGGGATTACATGAGCCACCATGCCAGGCTCAGGCTTTTCAAACTAGACATTCCACATGCTTTGTCAAGTTTGCTTTCAAACTTGTTATCTTATACTAACACTGAGTATTATGATTAAGATGTTTCCTAAAAATTTCAAAGTTTTAAAAGTGTTTTCAAAGTCAGCTTTCAAACATATTGACAAAATCAATCTTGTAACCTTGGCATGCTTTCATAAGGTGTGTTTGTGTTATTCTCTCTGGCATTAAAGAAAAGAAAACAAACAGGCAAACTTAACAATGCACAATGGAATGCACAGACCCCATCTACTTCCAAGTTGATCTGTTCAGGAAACCCTTGGAACATTAAGTGAACATGAAATCTTCTCACATAGATAATCCATTCATTGCAAGATTTTTCCAAATACAAGCTTTGGAAGATGTACTATCAGAGGCCGAGTTTGAATCATGTAAAGAAATAACTAGTTAAAGTCAAAGTACAGCTGTAAAGCAACAGATATAAGATTTATCAGCAGAGAGCCATAAAACATTTTAACACCTCAAATTTCAAGAACTCAGAATTAAAACAACATACAAAATTGCAAACCCTAAGTCAGTAATCATTAAGGTATAGCCCACAGGTCAAATAGGGCCAGCCACCTATCTTTATTCATTCACCCATGAGCTAAGAATGATTTTTTACTTTATTTTTTATTGTTTTTTTTTTAGAGGCAAGTTCTCACTCTGGCACTCAGACTGGAGTGCAGGGCTATAATCATAGTTCACTGCAGCCTCAAACTTCTAGGTTCAAGCAATCCTCCCACCTCAACCCCCTGAGTAGCTAGTACTATAGACATGCACCACCACACCTAGCTCATTTTATTAATGGTTGAATAAAAAGTCAAGGAGAATGATATTTCTTGCAATATAAAATTTATATGAAGTTCAAATTTCAGTGCCCATGTATAACATTTTATTGGAATGCTGCCATGTTTATTTATTTATGTTATTAGCTACGGCTGCTTTCACACTAAAATGGCAGAGCTGACTACCTGAGACAAAGACACTTGGTCTGCAAAGCCTAAAATATTTACTACCTGGTCCTTTACAAAAAAGAAAAATGTTTGCCTACTCCTGCCCTAAGCTAATATTCCAGTTTTTTTTACAATTCTAAACAAAACTTGTCCTGCTAAGCAGATGCTCAGGGAGATACAAGGTTCTATTCTTAATCTATGAGACTGCCACTGCTCTGAACATGGCTGGAATTCCTTTTGTGAAAGTGAGTTCACTAATGAGGCAGGGAAGCTAAACCTACAGGCACTCCGCATTGGAAGGAAGCCTAGTTTCACAACATGCAGAATCTTAGTGTGTGACAAATAGCTCTGTGTTCTAATTATGTCTTCTCCAGAATTACCATGTAGGTGATTTGGACAAGACATTTATAAACCACTTTTTGAAGCAAGATAATTCAAGTTATTTTCCGAGTAAGAAAAGTCCAATGCATACATCACACTAAAAGAGCAATTCATTTCACTGTTGACAAAAAGTAACCCATGTTGATCCTACCAGACTGATTTCCAAATGATATCAAATCTACACTCAAAGAATAAAATTTTACCCTTAAATGATATATAAAAGTGCCGACGTTCTCACAGAAACACAAAATTATAAGTACCAAAAACATTTGGAGCAATTAGCAGTATGGCTCAACTAGGGATACAAGCTCTTAGATACATTTATATATACATTTAAGGACGGAAATTACAATGCACAAGTTTAAATGTCAGTAATATTTTACTAGAGCCAACAATGTGCCATTTTTTTACTACTGAACAGAAACTCAATATTGTTAACAAAAATAACAGCCCCAAAATAACAAGCTAAATTGATTTCTTTGAAGAACGGACCAACTAATTGGGAGTACTAATGTTCTGGGTGACAAAGGGGTTAAGAATAACAGAAAAGGCCAGGCATGGTGGCTCACACCTACGATCTCAGCACTTCAGGAGGCCAAGGCAGGAGAATCGCTTGAGTCCAGGAGTTCCAGACCAGCCTGGACAACACAGTGAGACCCTGCCTCTCCAAAACATTTAAAAATCAGCCAGGTGTTGTGGTGCATGCCTGTAACCCCAGCTACTAACATGGCTGAAGTGTGAAGATTGCTTGATCCAACAGTTTGGGAATGCAGTGAGCTATGATTGCACCACGGCACTCCAATATGAGCAAGAGAATAAGACCCTGTCTCTAAAAAATAAAAAATTTAAAGAAAAGAATAACAAAAACCATAAGGAGTAATAATCACCAACTACCACAGAGCCAACCAAGGAATAAAGAAACATTGTCTCATTTTGATTAACGGAAAGTTAATCTTTTGTGAACTCAAATTTGATTACTACCTTTGTATCACCTGTTAAGGAAGGTCAAGGTCAATGATAGGGACTACCACTTTGCACACAAGCTCTTCCCTTGGAGAGGCTGGCCCATGCCCTCTTCAGGTGTATTCCGTGACAGTAGGTGAAGGTTTCCCTGACCACCTGATTCCAACTGCAAATCGACCTTCTTCTCCTTACTTCTCTCTCTTCCTCCCCTTTCTCTGCTCCTTCTCTGCTTAAACTTTCCCCATAGTTCCTCTACTATCTAACATGCTATATATTCAATTTCTTTATTATTTATCATTCCTGTCCTCATCAGAAAATTAGCTCCATGAGCAGAGTTTTATTTTTGCCCATTTTGTTCACTACTGTATTCACATCCCTAAAGTACAGCACATGCCCCACGAGATCGTGTTGAATGAATCAGTGAATGGAAGTGAACAGCTACCAGAAAACCCCAAACATAGCTGACATTTTCTTCATGTTTTCCAAATAAAAATATTTTTCTACTAAGATTATTCATTACAGCTTGTCTAAATCAACAAGAATTCTGAGTTAGGTAGTCTAAGAAACCATTAAAAACCAGCTGGCCGGGTATGGTGTCTCACTCCTATAATCCTAGCACTTTAGGAGACTGAGGCAGGAGAATCACTTGAGCCCATAAGTTCAAGACCAGCCTGGGCAACAAGGTGAAACCCTGTCTCTACACAAAACACAAAAATTAGCTAGGCAAAGTGGGACATGCCTGTATTCCCAGCTATTCAGGAAGCTAAGGTGGGAGGATGACTTGAGCCTGGGTAGGTCAGGGCTGCAGTGAGCTGAGTTCATGCCACTGCACTCTAGCCTGGGCAAGAGTGGGACTGTTTAAAAAAAAAAAAAACAGCTTTCCAAAAGTAAAACTTAATTGTGCTTCATTGTTCTGCTGACTGTTTCTATGTATTTGTTCTGCTGTTTCTAGTTATTTGTGAAGATGAACAAAAAACTGCAAGGGTGGGTTGAAGATAAGCATATCCTGAAGCAGATGATAACAGAACCATGTTGTTCCCATTTGACTATTTCAAAAGAATCTGCTGGTTACCTGAGCTATAGAGGCCTGGGGATTACCCAGCAAGTTTTTGAATGAACGCTTGGAAACCCATCTGAGTTGATGACAGAAGGAGGTGGTATAGGTGGCCTCCTTGAAGACTGTGGTCTTCTTCTTCTCACCCCTTGAGAGTTGATCTAATTCAGCTTTTGTCTCTTTGTAGAAGGAGGAGTTGACATAAATCTCAGCTAATTTTTCTATGAGTGGCTTATCCCGCTTGGAAGGCAGGATCTCCGTGGCTTTGCAATCAGTGGATAAAAAGGAAACATGAACAAGATAACAACTAATTAAGCCCATTTTTCTGTGACCCTTTTCTTGGATTCTTCCCTAACACCTTCATTCTAAAGCTTTAGAAAGAAAAAATAGAAATAAATAATTATTAGCTCTGTCATTAGAAAAATATAACAGGCCAGGCACAGTGTCTCACTCCTGTAATCCCAGTATTTTGGAAGGCAAAGGCAGGAGGATCATGCGAGGCCCAGAATTCAAGACCAGCCTGAGCAACAAAATGAAACTCTGTCTCTGTAAAAATAAATAAAGTAATAAATTAAAAATAAATTTAAAAAGAGGAAAAGAAAAAAAGAACAGTGCACTAGCCTGTCTACTGCCACAGTCTTATGAATACAGCAAACCTACTGACATTTTCCTATTTGACCTTAATTATTTTAAAATAGACTTCTTATCACATAGTTCTAATTCTTAATATAAAATTATGGTTGTGGCCAGGTGCAGTGGCTCACGCCTGTAATCCCAGTACTTTGGAAGACTGAGGAGGGAGGATCACTTGAGGTCAAGAGTTCAAGACCAGCCTGGCCAACATGGTGAAACCCCGTCTCTACTGAATATACAAAAATTAACTGGGTGTGGTGGCGCAGGCCTGCAATTCTAGTTACATGGGAGGCTGAGGCAGGAGAATCACACTCCAGGAGGCAGAGGTTGCAGTGAGCTGAGATCATGCCATTGCACTCCAGCCTGGGTGACAAGAGCTAGACTCTGTCTCAAAAATGCAACAACAAAAAAATCTGTTCGTTGCTTCCTATTATATGCAAATGTATACATTGCCAAGTTTCTTATTTTAAAAACACTATATAAACAATTAGTGTTTTTTAAAATGGTAACTCCTCTTAGAACTGACAACACCATATAAATTCTCATTTATAAATTAAATCAAAACACCAACAGCACTCACACACAACAAAATATTTGTGTTGACTAGTATCAGAAGACTGCATTAATAGAAATTCACAAAGCTGCATTTTAATTAGCCACCACATTGCTAAACTTCAGCCAATTCAATTAGACAAAAATCTGGGACTATAACAGATTCATATACCTTTGAAGTCTTCTTCTCTGTTTAATACCACAGCAGTGGAATCTCCATTAATGACATCCAAGAAGAAGTCTGCAGGATTATTATAGGCCTCACAGTGATAACCTACGAAAGAAGGGAACCCAAAAACACAAACTTGATGGTCTTGGAAAATAAAAAGGGCTCACTTTCAGAGGGTGAGGGAGGTGAGGCTAGAGAAGACAGAATCTAATGACTTCTCCCTAACTTTGTTTCTCTCTTCTCCCCACACCAATTTTATCCTTTCTTTTTATATATTCAATCGCACAATTTTTTTTTTTGAGACAGGGTCTCCCTCTGTCACCCAGGCTGGAGTGCAATAACACTATCTTGGCTCACTGCTACCTCTGCCTTCCGAGTTCAAGTGATTTTCCTGCCTCAGCCTCCCAAGTAGCTAGGATTACAAGCATGCACCATCACACCCAGCTAATTTTTGTATTTTTAGTAGAGACAAGGTTTCACCATGTTGACTAGGCTGGTCCCGGACTCCTGGCCCCAAGTGATCCACTAGTCTTGGCCTCCCAAAGTGCCGGGATTACAAGCATGAGCTTGTAATCTGTGCCTAGCCTATCTCACAATATTTCAACAATTCTTTGTCTCCTGGCTAAAAGAAAAGAAAACATTCCAAGCCAACCTTGGATTTGCAGGACATTTTACACTAGTGCTTGGTCCTTATCTATCGTAATTCATGAGACCTGAAATAGCTATTGGTATGCTCTGGTGCTTAACAGTACTTCATCAAAAATCTAAATATAGGCCAAAGAAAAGAAATGCCAAAAGCCCAGGTGTGTTCTGCTGTCTGAGTTCACCTAGGGAATGCCAGAATGATGGAATCCACATTAGCAATGATTGCTTCCCCACATACTAAATTCAGAGGTCCAGGGCCAGGTGCAGTAAAGGGGCTCACACCTGTAATCCCAGCACTTCAGAAGGCCAAGGCCAGTAAATCGCTTGAGCCCAGGAGTTCGAGACCAGCCTGGCCAACATGGCAAAACCCCAACTCTACTAAAAACACAAAAATTAGCCAGGTGCCTTGGCTTGTGACTACAATCCCAGCTACTAGGGAGGCTGAGGCACAAGAATCACTTGAACCTGGGAGGTGGGGGTTGCAGTGAGCTGAGAAAGCACCACTGCAAAAAAAAAAAAAAGAAAGAAAGAAAGAAAGAAAGAAAGAAAGAAAGAAAGAAAGAAAGAAAGAAAGAAA